GCACAGCTGCATGTATGCTTTACTTAGATTGCATAATAAAGCACTTTGGGGTTTTTTTTGGGCAATCAAGCTATAAGGCCATAAATGCCGATTTTTCTTTAATTCGATGAGGCGTAGGCTTGTAGAAATATTTCTTTCTTGAAGATAATTGATAAATTGGTGTATTGGTGAACATTATCTTAAAGAATCGACACATTAATTTTACCTATGTGACAAAATAAATATAGATGAGTTAGTCAAAACTTAGCTTTTTTATTATTAAGTACCCAAATATGTCTTCCTTTCACAAATTATTGTTAATAATAAATAAAACACCAGGTCTGTATTAATTACAAACGTTTCTAGTTTAAAAATCTTTGCAAAAAACCTCATTTTCAAATTACTGAACAGTTGTACAGACTTCTCCTGTTTTGTTTTTTTCGTTTAAAATTAATTTTGGGCTAAGTACGTACCATATATAAGGTTTTTTTACGCGATATCTAGCTATATGATGATGGTGTTAATGTCCGGAAAATGTTTTTATTTCAAATTGGACTGAAATTAAAAAGCTTTTACCGGTAAATGACGTGCTGTTTTGATAAGCTTAATGATAAGCTCTTTTACAAAAACGTATACGTCAATGTAAGACGTATATGATAGTGCTCAGAACAAACAACAGATGAAGCGTTAAGTAATATATCACTAAAAAAGATAAAAGCATTTTAAAGAAAAAAATTATCTCACTCTTGAAGTTCTATAGTATTAAAATACATAGAAACCATATGTTTAACAGAATGTTTCAAAGAATAAAATTTCATTAAAAAGAGAGTCTAAAAAATGCATGCATATAGCTAATTCATAAGGTGATAAAAAGGTTTTTATACTTCACAGCGATTATGAAAGAACAACAAAGAAACTCCTATAGCTGGGGAAAATCCTTTAACATAAAGAATTATAATATTTTAATGATTAGGTTTATCATTTCACGAAAAACATTAAAAAAGAGCAATCACATTTTTCTTTTCGTGAAATTGCAGTTGTGTTGCATACATTTTTTTGCTATTTTTTATTATTCGAAATGTTAAAAGACACAATACAAACAAACGATCAACTAAAAACATTACACTTCACATTAATTCGCAATGACAATACACAATTGACACCCACACTTTTCCTGTACACACAATACAATGAGGTAAGAACCAGCTAAAAAATACGGCTAACCTGACGTTTACTCCTCATTGAACTCTGAAGATGACTACCGCTAAGGTTGTCGAAACGTCAGTCAACAACAAGAAAAACAGTCCTTCACAGGACTATGCCAACCTGGAGAATCTACATTTACAAACATGTAACAGTTATTATATTCAACATGTTTTTTGTTTTCTGACCAGTCTCCCAGGTCACCGCAAAGTTTATTTTGCCTTGCTGATGTTAGCGTATTTCATACAAACCAAGCAAGAATTCAGAAATAAGATTACCATAGCCTTGTTGATAGTCATTCCAACCACAATGTTTCTGTTACTGCATTGCTAGAATATAAGTCAAGCGTTAAATATGACATGTACAGTTGTTTCTTTGAGATTAAAATGTACACTAGTGTGCTACTTTAGTAAGAAATCAAAATGGCAAGGTTGTCATTTTCATGTTAACGAAAAACAACAGGCAGGAAAATCGAGAACATTTATATAGCCACCATCACGAAGAATAAATTACATTTTGTACATGCACAGCTGCATGTAAACTTTTCTTAGACTGCATAATAAAGCACTTTGGGATATTTTAAGCAATCTACCTATAAGGCCATAAGAGCCAATTTTTCTTTAATTCCAGGAGGCGTAAGCTTGTAGAAATATTTCTTTCTTTATGATAATTGATAAATTGTTGTATTGGTGAACATTATCTTAAAACATTGTTCGCTTAATTATATCCTATGTGATAGACAACGCATTAAGTTAAAACTACTAAGTTATTAATCATTAAGTACTCAATTATGTCCTCGATTTACATATCGTGGTTAATAATTGATTGCTAAAACCACCAGGTCTGTATTAATTAAAAACGTAAAAACTTTGCAAAATTATTTATAAATAAAGTAATTGTTAAAGACGTCCTCTTTTGTTTCGTGAGCTAAAAGCAATTTTGCTAAAGTCCTGCCATAATGGGTTTTTAATAACGATATCTACAGCCATAATATTTGCGATAATACCCAAAAGTATTTCTATTGTCTAGTGAATGCAAATTAAAGCTTTTGGGGTACAATAAAGTGCTGTTTTTATTATTAATGTCATTCTAATAAACAAGTTTAATGATAAGCTCTTTTATAAAAAACGTCAATTTCAATGTAAGACGTAGATGAAAGTGCACAGAACAAATGACAGGTGAAGCAATATATCACTAAAAAAGGCAAGCGCATTTTTAAAGAAAATAAATTACTTTTTCGTATAGTTTCATGACCTTGTATGATCAATTATCAAGATCCAAACTAATAGATGTGTGATTGCTTTATCATTCTACCATCACTCAACTATTTTTGTTGTTGCAAACATGTCGGTTTGAGCTTGTTTACATATAGGTCTATGTTAAAAATTTGGGAGATGTTATTTTTTTGGAAAAGGTATAATAAGAGTGTTTTTTATAAATATAGGCATATTACTTTAAACAAGTTTTGAACTATACAGCAGAGATAATGAAATAACAATAAAGGAGCCCCCATAGACTGAAGTCAAGAATAGCAAACTTCAGAAGCATATACTTCCTTCCTCAATTATTAAGAAGTATAATGCTTTATTCATTTGCCATAAACTGTGCTTTTAAGCAGCCTTCAATTGATCAATAATTTGAATAAAATAATTAAGAAAGCTCAAGATCTGTAGTTTAGTATGACCACTGACTACTGCTTCGTATTGATTTCATTTCCGACAAATTAATGATCATTATATATTTTTGTGATGATCTAATTTCATGGATGTTTTGCGTTGCCGAAACAGAAATTCTCGAAATTCTTTTAAATCTATTCCATGATCTTCAAACTGAACAAAAGCTAAATATATAGTACTATAATTTAAATAAGCTAAATATAATGCTCATAAGGTCAAGTGGATTTGTTTTAGCTTTGACATAAATAAACAGAAGGAGAAGCAGAAGAGACGAAGTAGATTCTACACAAGATTCTAACCCAAATTCAAGAAAAGAATTCCAAAACTTGAAAAACCTTGGAAATTGCGCAAGGAAAGAGTAGATATCGCTTAAGTGACTTAATCAACGGCGTATAGCATTTATGCAAAATCTATCTAGATCCTACTTAACTAAACACCTGCCGAAAGAGGTTTTAATAAGAAAAATAACAATTTAGTCTTTCGGTTTTACATGTGAACAAACTTAAACAAAAAAGAACATTTCAAAGAGTAACTTTGATCTATTACACCTACGATTTATATACTATATATCAACCGTAAACTCTACCTTAAATATAAGGGTGGAAACGTGTTTTGAATAAAAAGTTAAAATTTCCTTTCTGTTCAAATTTTTTGCATTTCTTGATTTTATAAGTCATACGAAGTTATGCTATAACCAAGGAACGGCGCGCAGATCTGGGCACAAGACCCCCTGCGGTTAGCACGCAGTATTAGATAATAGACTACAGTGGTGGTAGGGGGTAAAAAGGAACTTTGTAATTAAATTCAAACAACACATCATTCGAAAGCTCATGATAATTAATTTAGTAATTTCAGTTATGCACAAAAGCGAGATGAAGTTCAGTTGCCTTATTGCGACACGGTTTTAATAACTATTATACCAAATCCATATGAAGAACCACGAATAGTGACTGCTGAGATCTATTTCTTTTTAAAGACTAAACAGCAAACTTTACGAAAAAATGTATAAAGTTCACTACACATGTATCCATTATCGTCATGAAATCATCACTTTATTAAAAGTTTTCTGATGGTTTTATTTTCATTTCAGTGAGTTTCAAAGAATAAGGAAATCCTTTCCAATCTTTCAAAACAACACCTTTGTACCAAGATGCAGAAGGTTGATAATTGCCATGATAATAATACCCATTTAGATTGGAAACATAACAATGATAATACCACCAAGCACCTTTAGCATTTACAGCGCAGTTTCCACCGCCATCTCTATCATTATCTGAATCGATTGTCGTAAACAACTTGTTTTTATGGGCAGATAATGAATTCCCAGCAGTTCCTAAATGGTGATATTTGTATTCAAGAGAACACACATTTAACAGTGGAACTTTTAGTATGCATTATATTTGGTCACTACATGCTTGTGTAATTTTTATGTTTAATCAATAGATAATTAACAAAAATATTTTCAATAGAAAGATTCTTTTTGCGCTTACATGGCCAGAAAAAAATGATTGGTTAAAATAACGATATGATTGGTTAGAGTAGCCATAAAAAATATTTGTTGAAGTGGTTAAATGCATCTAAAGTAAACAATTTTAATGGTTATTTTAACCAATCAGCTTTTACAGTGTGTGTGTCATCACTTAGTTCTTTAATTATGTAGAAAATATTAAATACTGCTGTGTTTTTTCTATATAGCATTATGTTCAGTCCCTTACACATAATTTGTTGCATACAAAGCTGGAACTGAATTTGCAATTTATTTTAATAAGTAACTTAGTCCTTATCCTTGAATGATCTCTCTAGTATTGCCTGTTTAGAATTGCTTTTTCAGTTTGTAAATTAGTTGTTATACCGATATATTTAAAGCTGTAATCACACTTTAAAATATTTTTGTTTTACAAAAGTGGGTTGCTTGTTTTATAATATAAGTTGAAACAAAATATATTGTTCTTATGACAAATATGTAACAAAAAAGTAGAATCGGTTCACGTAAATTCCAAGCATCCAAATCGTTTTAATTTAATGCTAATATTATTTTTATCCTATTAACCCTTTTAATTTTGTGGTGTTATTGTTCATATTTGCCTAATGACCTACCAGAATATTTTCCAAGTCTCAATTGATAATTTCTATTTTCATTCTCTACAGCAAAATAATCATATTCAGCATATCTTTTATTCCTGACGTGTCTCCAAGATCAACACGAAGTTTATTTCTCCTTGCAGATGTTAGTCGGTATATTTTATCCAATCCAAGCCAGAATTCACTTTTCAGATCACCAAAACCTTGTTTATAGTCTTTCCAACCTCGATAGAAGTTTACACTTCCATCTTGACGTCGTTGAAACACAGTCCAACCTCCACCAGATGTTTTCATATCACAGAAAACCTTAAAGTAACCCTGACCATCTGGATTAAGTTGATAAACTCCGTTCTTTTTTTCACCTTTTTTGTAAAGATCTGCACAGTCGTTTCCTTGCGTTTTCTTTGATTTATTTGAAATTTTTTTCCGTTTTGTTCTTTTCCTGTGAGTTTCGTATATTCTTTTTAAAGCGTTGTCAATCGTTTTTCAAGAGTTCTTAACATGTTTTGTGTTTTCGCTAATTGTGCTTTGAGTGTTTTCATTTGTATAGAAAGCTTAATCATTTGAACTTCGAGCTTCTTTATTTGTTTTCGCAATGTTATAAGTTTGCTTATTTGCCTTGTTGATTTTGGATTGGAGTTTTAACTTAAATGTTTGAAGGTGTTTGTTTTGTGCGGCAAGTTTTTTGTGATATGTTTGAAGTGTAGCTATTTGTGCTTTTATAGATGCAATTTTTGTCTTCAAATTACATTTCTTGGTTCAGGTTTTAAGGTGCGTTTCATGTCGAGGCTGAATGTTCAGAAGTCATCTTTTGTACGATCTTCTTTTGTATTAGTCAACATCGCTCTACGGAAATAGTTAAATCATATGAGACAAAACCGTCAACTTAGATATTAAAGCATGATATTCAGTGGCCAACTACTCAGTAGGCTCTGTATGCTGAAGTTTACAGGCCCAGGCATTTAAGAGGTCCATAGTATTAGACATAAATAGTTTTTAGCATCTGCTATTCCGGACTAGAGTTAAATGCTCCTAATTTAGACCATTTATGCTGTTGAAAACCGTACAATCTACTGTTGAAATTCACGATGCTTAGAAAACATGAAGTGTTAGCTTTCCCCAAATCGAAGTTTAAATTCATTCCTTATTGTTGATACTATGAGTTACAAAGACAGGCTGGTAAATACAAAGGGTAAGGGCTATAGGAGCGTATGGAACGCAAATGTCATCATGAGATTGAACTTAGTGGGAAGAATACATATCCGATTTAAATTTCAACAAATTTGTATTATCCGGCATGCTTCTTAATTAGTAATCCGCCACTGATGATAACACTTATTACACTGTGTCACTTGCTTACTGGCCATTATCCAGCATGATGTTCTTGTGTTCTTTAAACACAGCCAGAAGTTTCAAAATTTTTAAACAATTTCCAATATTAATACGTAACGTAACAAAGAGGTTAAATTCATAGAAATTGTGACGATTCATCATCTTCCACCTTTTAAACACCGTTTATCAAAAAAGCTTATATTTGAATTGGTTTGGAAAATTTTTATGGTGATTAAGAAATAATCAATCATAATTTTAAAATTCTAAAAGGCTCAAAACAGTACGAAAATAAACATTTTTGTAAATTTAAACTTTCAAAAGTGGCGTAGTGCAAAAATTTCGGAGCTCATATTCATATAAGCATACAATAATCCGTAAAACATGATTTCAAATGATCTTAGAAGACGATATGAATAAGTGTCCTCTCATGCATTTACAGAGATTGCAACGACATTGCAGGAGACAGTTTTTAAAATATAGCTACGAAGAAGCAGATTACGAACAATAAAGCAACCATGAAATTCAATTCATCTCTTTTAATCCATAGGTGACATACTTTCTAACATAAAAACATCTAATAACGGCATATTTAATGCAAAATACTAAAACTGCCCATTGCTACTGTTTTAGCCGCTTTCAACATTTTCACTATAAAGCACTGTCCTATAAAATTATGCATGCGTCAAAAATACAAAAGGTTTCACACCTCGCACGTTTTAGTTTAAAAAGATTACAACTTACCCATGAATAACAGCAAAAAGTCAAGCTATTACAATCATGGCATAAGTAAAGTTCGCCATCTTTTGATAAGTCTCCCTTGTACAGCTTTGAAGCGTGTGTGAAGACAAAAGCAAAGCTCTATTTATACATTTGTGTTAATTGTGGTTCAATGACAACTTGTTATAAAATTTGATTTCATGTTGACTATTCATAATTATTTTATTGACTTGCTACAGCACTTAAAGTTTTAATTGTATGTTTGTGCTATTACACAAACAAAATATTAAAGCAGGCTTTGCTTAAAACATTTCATTTTGAAGTTTCCAACGTACCTTTTTGAACACTTATTCTGACAATAAAATCGAAATCAAAAAAGCAAAATAGCATCCTTAATTGTGTTTACACAAGTTGGGAATTCAGCCAGAAATAGCAAACATAAAGACATGGAAATGCGTGGTCCTTCTGTAAATATGTATGGTGTAAATTCACGATGAAAATTTACATGTATTGTTGAAGCTTTAATAACATATTGGGAAAGGCAGGCTTACTTATTCAAGCCAGACAATATTATCTAACATATCACGATTTAATGAGTGAGTTAGGCTCCAACACATGCTTTATATTTTAGTTATGACCAAATAGACATGCTCCTAAATAGACATGTTCTTAAATAGCTCGCCAAAGCAAATTTAATGACTGAGTTGGTTTCTTTTAGTAGTTTGCAAGATGTATTTAGCATAACTACAAGAATTCGCTGGCTATAATTACTTAGAAACAGCTCTATGCGCTTAGTATTGGGAAGTATTTGGATACATCTCGTACGTAAAATCATAATGATTGTTTTCCTTAGACATCACGCATAAAACCTGTATATAGTAAACACCTATTTATCACTCACGTTAGATGTATAATCATATTCCCAAGTTCAAGGATAAAAAATTTCACAAACTCCATAATCTTGTCAAACTGCTCGTTAGCTACATTCAGCCCCATGACTACTGACTCAATGTCATAAGGACTTCTGCCAACTCGATCAACATAAAAAGCCAAGTTTTTACCTCATAGACACAGCTACGTATTTGAAACGCCGTATATGCAGAAAATGATACTCAAGCAACTTTAAACTCTAGAGTTTATCTTCCTCATCCTACGGAGAAGAGTTTAGATTGCCTCACATTTCAATCAATAACTTTCTCTGTTAGCTTTCCATTTCACTGTCAAATCTGGACGACTATACGACAGAGCTAAACTCAGTCAGCTTTCAAAAGCGCATGGAAGGAAACTACCATGAAATTACCGAGCAAGAAATATGAATTTTTAATGAAGTTGTATACCAAAAACCGTCGCTATGGCAGTCTTACTTTTTGTATAGACTATATAGTTAAAAATTTAAGGGTTAAACTCACCTCCAGGGAATTATCAAACAAAGTAGCTCGCCCACGATGGCTGTTGCCCACAACAGTATGAATAAAATATTCTTTTGTATTTGACAACCAACATGGCGGCCATGACGTAACACAAAAACCACCTATAATGTAATTATTTCCAGAAAAACTGTTGTGCAGTTTTCACTGACTTGCAGACAGCAAGTCAGGGCATGAATGGAAAAGATATTTTCAAAAAATCTTAATTAATAAGTGGCAGTTATACATCAACAATTTCTAGTAGAAAATTTTAATATGGACTTCACATTTCAAATAAAAGAGGTTGGAATAAAAACTGTTTTCCTGGACATTGCTATTCTGCTCAAAGCAATTGATGAAGTTAGTCTTTTAATATCTACAAAATATATTGATCGTATTGTTCCGTTAATCATATTCTAATCAAAATTACGAGGCTTTTTTAAATTAAGTAACATCTTAAAGAGATAGGCGGGAACAGGTATTTGCATTTGTTATACATTCCTCTTCAGTTATTAATTAAATCTTTCAATGGTTAAATATATAATTTCACAAACACTGTAGTCTTATTTCTAAACTAAAGAATTGAAATAGCACAACTGAATGAGAGTAGTATTAATAAAGGCTTATGATTAGTGAATAAGGTAATTTTTTACATAAAATGAGAAAAAAACAGCATGTTTTATATATTAAGGATTATTTAATGAATTTTATATATTTAATATAACTTTTTTGTTGACTGGAGCTCCTTTCAAGTAAAATGGACATTTTTCGAAAGACGATCTGTGCTTCACCTTAATTGACCACTTATCTCTATACCTTGGAAGCGAGTAGCTATATATAGGTTGCAATTAAGATATTTCGTCTTAATCCATATCCAAATCAAATGGTATTAAATTATTTCTTTATAGTATAGATTATTAGTCATAGATGGTCTAAGCACTGGTATCTGTACCATAGCTGGCTTATTGTTAAATAAGCAATTTTGTTCCAATATTTTATACATTAAAGGCTGCAGTGACGTCAAATGCCTTTAAATAATCTTTTCCACAATAGGTAGTATATTTTTGCTATTTTTCATGATGTTTTTAATAACAGTAAGAAAGTTTTTTGTAGTTATTTATAGAAGCATCGACTTTTTCATGTATTTTGAGAAACAATTGTCTATTGTGTGACTCAACAAGAAAAATCATTTTCCCTTTTGCACGAAAGAAGCCTTAATTATCATGCTCAGTTTATTATGGATAGTTAACATGCGCTAAGTTGTAAGTTATACTAAGAAAAATCAGGCATATTCCATTCTTTTATCTTCTATAAAAATATAATGGACCTTCATTAAAAGGTAAGCCCAATACTTATATATTTTAAAGCGATTATTTTTTAAATAAATTTGTAGCAGGAAGGTTTTTTTATTGGAGACATTTCTTTGTCGAGACACATAAGACATCTTCAACAGTCTTAGATACAACAAGCTAAATGAATTATCTAATTAAAAAATTACATTGCATTAAATTGGAGGAATAGAAAATTTGACACATAAGAAAATAAGGAAAGATATACGTACATGGAACTATCACATGATCAGTGACGTAGCAAACCCGCAAGTTTCTTTTTGCTATGTAAATATTTTGTTGTTCATAATACTATGAATTTTTAATAAAACGAATGATGCTGATGATAAAAAATTACGTGTTATGAATAAATTGAGGGATGGCTAGGCCACTGCCCATAAAGGAAAAAATGAAAAATCGTGAAACAAAATTTTGGATGTGATGTGAGAAAAAACGAGCGTTTTTTATATCTCTAACATAAGGATGAAGTTTTGTGTTAATTTTAAATCACCAAAGTCATTTAGGTAGCGCGTAATGTTTTTCTTTTAAATTGACGATGTTGAAATGAAAAGATTTTCCATAGATTACAGTCATTAAATTTTGTATCGTCCGGTTTACTTTTGAGATTAAATCTAAGGATGAAAACCAATTAATGGATTTTTCTTTGCACGCATTTAAATGCGTTACATATATTATCATTGAGAATTTTACTTACTATTTGCCTTTAAAATCAGCAATGATAGCGATGCTACAGAGTCTAACGTTTTAGTTATCAGCATCTTTGGTGTACTTATAGAAACATCAGTTTTTTCTTGATAGGACTGGAGATATTAAGAAACTTGGCTGCATTGTGCTTAAAGATAGATAGGTAGGCCATTATCTCTTAAAAATTATATAATTAGAACAGCTTTCAATCAAGAAGGTGAAACTACATGGTAATAACTACATGTTTGTAAATGTAGATCGTCCAGGTTGGTATAGTCCTGAGAAGAACTGTTTTTGTTGTTGTTGACTGACGTTTCAACAACCTTAGCGGCACTTTACTTTAATAACTTACTTTACCTTACTTTACTTTACAACCTTACTTTAATAACTACATGGTCAGATTTGAAAGTCAAACAGAGCAACAATTCCCGGCAATTTAGTAAAATTGATACTTAGTAAAGACGGAGGTTTTATAAAGTATAAAGTTTAGTGGAGTAGAAAGTTTAGCAAAAAAACGAAGGTTAAGTAAGGCAGGAGATTTTGTAAAGAGAAGGAGGTTAAGTAAGGAAAGAGGTTTTGTAAAGAGAAGTAGGTTAATTAAGGAAGGACGCTAAATAAGGAATAAAGTTTATTGTGCAAGATATAAAATTATTATTCATTATGACTTGCATCTAACTGTACAAAGAAACCAATAAAGCAAATACAATTAATTTCATGACGATCCTCTTTTCAAATTTTTAACTTAAGTGGAAGCAGATATCAATCTTTGGTTTTATAATTTGTTTATTTTAGAAAAACACAACGTGCTATATAAACGTGTAAGTCTTAATAAATGTGAGAAACCATATCATGCCATGAAGAATAAAATATAATAATTAAAAAAATATCTCTTTAAAGAAGGCAGCTAACAACATGGTAAAACTAAAAAAACTGCTGTTATTTTGAGTATGATTTGATAACATCCGCTTCATTTAGATAACCATTTTAAATACTCACAATTTCTCTATTTCATTGATTGAAACAATATTTTTTACTACTTCATGAAATCAACACAATTTTTTGCATATTTTCTCATAAACAAACATATATTTACATGACGTACTGACATTGAAATTGATCATTGTCATGAAATTATTAATATTTATGAAAAGTCTTCATGGTTTGATTTTCATTTCACTGGTTTTCACGTTATTAAAACCACTCCAATGCACATTTTTACCATTTAGGTTGGAAAGAGAACAATCATTATACCACCAACCACCACCACTGGCGCAATTTCCACTACTATATTTATCATTATCTGAATCTTTGGTTGAAAACTTCATGTTATTGTGATAGGATAATGCATCCCCAACAGTTCCTGAAAAGTAGAAATAGTTCTACAGTTTTCTGGTGATTTATATTTTAAAAACGCACAAGAAACTGTTCATATCATTCTGTCATTATTCACAATAAACTTTATATCCAGCATTCCATGCATTTAATGATGCATTTATATTATATTAAGATATTTGCGAAACAGTTTTTCTCGTGGCTGGCTTGATTCAAACACATAAGAATAAAAAAAGAGTTAAGAAATGCATTGTGAGTTATTTACACCGCTTTTTTACTAAAGAACATTCCCAAGTCTTTAGATATGGCGATACAACACTTCAAAAGAAATTGTTATATGAAGTAAAAGCAAATCATCTTCATTCTCAGACATGTTTATATTTAACGCACAGCAATTTAAATTTCCTTCTTTATATTGCCTGATTCAAGCACATGCATCAAACAATCAGAGTACGAATTATACATTTATTATTTTATAAATTTCTTGCTGCAGACTTACATTTTTGCATGCTTTGCAAGAAAACATATCATTAAAAATTACAAATAAACTGCTCTTTTTGCGTTATACTTTTCCCGGATTACACATAGGATAAACAAGAGCAAAGGCAAGCATAAGCGCTTAGGCCTGTCTCAAATTTCGCATTTACATGAGCCGAATGCATTCAAAGCAAAAATAGATGACTAATTTTATCGCATTTTTTTTTGTTTTAAATGCGTTCGACACATGTAAAATGCAACGTTTTAAACAGGCTATAGAAATACAAGCTTTGCTAATAGATAATATTCAGAAAATTATTATATTTCTGAGGAATAAAACTTGTCTTTAAAGTTACTGAATATCCTGCTCTTCAAAATGATCTTGCTAATGCATTGTATATTGTCTAAATGTAAATTCGAATGCATTGTATATTGTCTTTCTTGCAGTTGACATTTCAGACAATATATTTCTTTACCCCTTTAGGTTTGTTCATATGAGACGGGCCAGTCCACTTAACCCGGGCTAGCTATTTTGCCGGATCAATTTGTATTTGCATTCATCTGAGGCGGGCTGGCCAAGTTGAAATGTTGTATTTAATTTCTGCCAACAAATGTTGTATTTTGTGGGAAAATTAAATTGCGTTTAGACTCAGACATTCAACAATCTGATTGCTACCAGTGAGTTCCACCGACTATTGTAGTGGTATAACCTGGAATTTTCAAACTTATTTTCAATTGCACATTATTG